GGGAGGCACGTATAACCGCCCATACTAAAATATGGGCGGAATTACGATTTTTTTAAATTTTTAACCCTCTCCCATATCCCTTACCAATCCCCCACCCCCACCAAAAACTAATGGCCAGATTCTCGGGTGCCACAGTATTTTTGTGCTAAATTTGGTTAAAATCAGTTTAGCGGTTTTTGAGTTATCGTGTTACAGACAGACGGACAGACAGACACCATGAAAATATTTTGTATTAGTATATGTACAAATAACTCATTTTGAGTGAAATTAAAAAAAACTTTTTTTTTGCCGATACCATAATTCTATTGCCGATACCATAATAAATTTTGCCGATACCATAATTCTATTGCCAAAATTGCGGTACAATTTTGGAGATTTGAAGTACAGCCCTCAGATACAGCCATGGGCTGTACCCATGGCTGTATCAGAGGCTTTTTAATATCAAATGTGTATACACGGGAGGTCCTTTTGAAGTTAGTTGAATTTCTGTGTGCCTACCATACCTGGTATGGTCGGCTAAAAATTAACAAGATATTTGTTTTATGTAAAAGTTTAGAAAACGATAAAATGGCAAAAAAAATCAATAATTATTTCTCACTATCGCAAGTCACACCGTACTGCCCACGATGTTCAGTGCAAAATGCTCTGTTGCACTGGTTACAATGAAGTGGCGTCATCGCGTCATTATTTGTTTTTTTGACACATATAACAAGTAATGTGTTTTAGTGTTGGGGATTCCTGCAAATCTGTCTGCAGAGGAATTTCTAAAATATCACTGAGCGTTCTAAAGTTGGGAAACTTGAACGGTGCTCTAGCTACGATCTTATAAGTTGCTCATGAAGTTTTAACCTAAGTTCCTTTCTTGTTATAGGTTTATCCCCTTTCTTTTTAGATTGCAATTAAAAATAATAAACCATTAGTCCATTAAACCATTAGTAGTAATAAACCATACACAAGTCATATTGATAATGTCTTTTTCTACAATTTCTGACCGCCATACCGCCAATTATCTGATGACTGTTTTTGGTCATCGCTAACAACTAAAAACATTGAAAACTAAAAATTGGAAACAGTATCATAGACAGTGTTTCTAATTCTGTTTGTGTTCGGGATCTTGTATCTTCCCACCTCTTTGACATTTTTCGATAAATTCGTTTTTAGAATAAAAACAGCTAAACCTTTCATAAAAAAACAAAAGTAATGCTTATTTTTGTTATATACAATAAACTAACCGTGGTTGTAATTATTGCTACCAGCTCTTCCAACCGATTAATGAAGCTAGACTAACACTCGAAATTCTACTAGAAATATACAGGGCGAGCCTTAAATAAGTGTAAATATATTTAGGGTAAATATTTTTCAAAATTCTAGCAAAAAACTAGTAAAATAACTCGTTTATTTTGGATTAGTTTGAAAAACGGTAAAGAGAAAATATGTTTTACCAGCCTTGAAAATATTTGAACTAATTTAAAACTCACCCTGTATAGTGTCCAATTTTTGGAAAGTTGGATAGTTTTCGTAAAATTTACGAATGGTTAGTATTCCAGGGTTAATATTTATGAAAATATGGGTGTATCTGGAGAACACAGAATCCGAAATAGGCACTAAATTAGGGAAAAATATTGAGCCGACAAGAAATAGCGTTAGGCACTAATGTTTCTTGTTTTTTTTTATTCTAAATTAAATTGGTTGGCATCTACCCTTATTTTTTTGTAATCTCTAGGATCTTTTTGTTATTTTTAGGATTTCTCTAGGATCTTCTTATTAGAAGCACTTCTTTTCAGTCTAGTTTTTTAAGCAGTAAATTTTGTTAATTCTATTGCCAAAATCGCGGTAAAATTTTGGAGATTTGAAGTGCAGCCTTCAGGGCTGTACCCATGGCTGTACCAGAGGCTTTTTAATATCAAATGTCTATACACGTGAGGTTCTTTTGAAGTCAGTTGAATTTCTGCGATTTGATCAGTTCAATTGACTTGACTTGTGCCATTCAAAAAGTTATTAATAATCGGTATGAATTAAAACTAAGGTAATAAAATTAGGGTAAATAAAATAACCACCTTTACTACTAACAAATATTTATTTTTTCATAATAAAAAGTACAGATTTTATTTCGAAAACTTTCGACATCATCATGTAATATTTTCTCGCAAACTACACACTCAGAGTGAAAAATAACTATTTCTTTATTACTATAGATAATTTCAGTGTTTTTATAGTTGAGGCCAGTAAAAAAAAAGCGAAATTACATAAAAATGTTTTTATAATACGTTTATTTAAGTTTTCTTAAAACATTTTCTTGGTGTTATATTAAAAAATTATTTAAACTTTAACAAAAAGAGGAATTATATATAATTTTTACAAAATTATCATAAATATAATTACGGTATAGTGTGTGTGTGTAATTTTAATGTAATTTTTGATAATAATAGGCAACAATGAGAATTATTCATTTCTTATACTTATATCATTAAATTACTAAATATTTATATATAACGCGATAATACAAATATAGAGGTATTGTACAATTATTTTATTTTTTTATTCTTGCTTTAAATCGGCTATATTATAACAAAAATTAAAAAAAATCAACGGTCTAATAGTCTAACGGTTATACTATGTACAGTAGTGTAAAGAAACTTTATAAAATTATATCTAGATCTAGATACAGAAAATGAATGGTTAAGAACGTTTGCCATTATTGTTAATTTGTTCATTTATACCACAAAGTGTTAATAAAAAACTGTCAGTAAAAAAAACAATTATCGCATATTTTCTAAAAAATTATATTAATTTGAAAAACAAGACACTTTGAATTCCTTGACTTTTTTAAATAGTTTGGATACTGTGAAGGGAAATTCAAAACAATAAGCCTACGCGTTAACCTTTAATTTTTAGTCGGCCGACTGTTTAGTTGCAAAAGTGAAAACAATACATACTTATGGAGCCGATCGGTCGACTATTTGATTGCATGTGAGCGCAGCTCCATTGGAATATATTAATTATAAATATGCAACTAAACAATCGGCCAATTAAAAATTGCCCGTCAGCGTATAGCCTAAGGCTACGCAATGGAATCAAATATTGGGTCGATCGGCTCCATAAAAATGTATTATTTTCACTTTTGCAACTAAATAGTCGGCCGACTAAAAATTACATGTCAGTGCATACCCTAATTATCCTAAAAAAAAACTCACTCAGAGAGAAAGGCAGAAAAATGCATATGCTTCATTAAGAAATATGTAATAATTACTTTTATTCAAATATGCCATAATTGTTTTGAGTAGTGTATCTAAGGTTTTTCAATAGAGAGATTTGGACTTCTTTTTTTTTTCCTTTAGTCAAATTAAAAAATAATAGTTTTTTGAACATACGTTTATGCAGAGCTATATGCAGAAGATAAAAAAGTCTTTATATTATGTATATAAGTCTGTAACCAATATTTTAATATTTTTGACTTTATGGCATGAAAATAAATACTATGAATATACTACGAATGATGATAACTGCCCTGAGAAATAAACACAAATAGGAATATTAAAAAAATTGTCTTGTAAAAGAAAAATCTTTAATATCTATAATATTTTGTACCACACGATCGAAAAAAGGTGTCAAAGATGGCTGGGGAATGAAAATTTTGGTGAGGCCAAGCTCTAGACGTCACTTACTTAGCCCGTACTCTTCTTTATTTTTTATTTGCGCTTACTGCCTGTTGATCTTAAAATTGTTGTAATTATTTAGCCAAAATCATCATCGATTACCATTAACCAGCCGTCTTTGACGCCGTTTTTTTTTCGATCATACGGTAGAGATGTTCCAAAATATCAGTATAATTACAGGGACTTGGTAAATAAACCTTCTGTAAGTGACAGACACTTATAGGTATTAAAGTTCAAAATCTCTCTATTGACTTTTATACAGGGTGTTTCAAAAAACATGTGCCATCTCTCGTGGGGATATTCCTCACGGAAAAATAAGATTTATTTTTCATAATAACAGAGGTCCGATTCTGCTCTTTGTTTCGTAGCTACAGGGTATTAAAGTCTTAATAATCTTTCGATTTATTATAATTTTCCTCCAAGTATTTTTAATGATTCGAATGAAATTTGGAGGCTAAAAGTTACTATAAGTGCTACATATTTTCATGCTAAAAATGTGTCAATAAATTTATCAGGGACGTGTATATGTGTTATCACTGGAATATTTAAAAAAAAAAAAACATGTGCGCCACTGACTTTTTTTTGTCATCAAAATTGTGTAAGCCGTTTAATGCCAATTAAAAATTATCTCTTGATATTTTGTCGAATTCGGCCTCCTTGGTGAGATAAACGCAATTTTATTAATCACAATTAATAAAATTAATATAAAAATAAAATTAATAAACCATATATTTTAACTAATTTATTATTAAATATTATTAGTATTAGTTATTATTTCTATTAGCGCAACCTACAGCAATTTCAAATAAAAAAATACTGGTATTTAAGATAATTACAAGAAACCTAATTTTAAAAAGGTTTAACATCCTGTAATTCCAAAACTATGCATTTCCATATCCATGTTTTTAGGATTTTTTTTATATTTTTTGATGAGGAATCAATGAGTACTTATTTAAAACTTTCGCAAGTTAATGATATTAAAATTTTAAAAAGGTTGCTACTCGGGTTGCTATTAAGACTTTGATCAAGGCAAAATATTCCAGTGAAAACCCATATGCACGTCCCTGGTGAATATGACGATATTTTTTAGCTCTAAAATATATCGCATTTATAGTAACTTTTATCCTCAAAATTTTATTCGAAACGCTAAATGTACTTGGAAGAAAATTAAAAAAAAAAACGAAATAAAACAAAAAAATATTAAGAATAAAAATAAAAAAACTAAAACGAAAAAATATTAACAGTTTAACACTCTGTAGCTAGGAAACAAAGCAGAATCGAACCTATGTTGATATGAAAAATAAATCGTATTTTTACGTGAGGAATCTCCTCACGAAGGATGACAAATGTTTTTTGAAACACCCCGTAGAAAAGTAGGAATAGGCTGTTAAAAAAATTAAAATTAAATCAGTTTAAAATATTTACAAAATTAAATTTTACGTCGATCAACGAATAAATGTCATGAGAGATCAATCACACTTTTATCTAACATATTCTTTTATCAGATCACTAAAACGTTTCATGTTACGTACTATTACACCCTTACTTATTACTTTATTACACTTAGTTATCACAATTTTTTCTCTTCCTACAAGAAAATGTGTTTTCCTTTCATATTTTCTTTATTTTAACAAATTGTCCGTGTTCAACTACACTATGTCTTGATATTTCCTCAAGCCAGAGAAACGTGTGTTAGTTGCCGTACTTCAAAAAGTGAGTTTCTTCCATTCGGTGATTTTTTCCTGGGTTTGAGTTTAGTAAATCACCTCGTACACTGTCGCCTTTTTGTCACCTGATCCGGTCACTATGTATTTGTCATCCGCTGAAATATCACAACTCAGAACGCTAGACGATTCCTTTGACTGAAAAAAAAGAAAATGTTAGACAGCTAAAAAAGCACAGGTAATGTGTTGGGGTTAAATTATACAGGGTGGGTCTTAAATAAATGAAGTTATTTTTAAGCAAAACAATTTCCGATGCACGTGATCAACTTTGAGTGACAAGCGATGGCGACAGCGCTGCCAGATTGTGATGGATTTATGAGATGAATCTTAATTTAAAATTGACAAACAACGTATCTATTATATCTTTTTTTAAAGAGTTTTACGTTTCATTTTTGTTTTAATAACTAATATTTTAGTGATTAATTGATTTATTTGTTTTATAGCTTATTTTACTTATTGGCAAAAACTAGTCCATTATGAAGATTATTATAAGCGTTATTATGGGTTATTTATTTATTTATTGATGTACATCTTACAACGCCATAAGTGGTAATAACAAGTAAGAGAGTGCTATTAATGCACAAAGTAATGATCACAGCATTTAATAAAACCTAACTTTGAAATGCTTATCAATCAAACTTACTTTTCTGACCGCAGCCAAGGGTAATAGAGGACCTGTATTGTCACGTTCTCGTTCAAAATAGTTTAAAAAGAAACAGGGAAGCTACAAGCTCTTTGCTTCGACTGTTTAAATGCTTTGGCATATTTTCAACACACAATTTCAAGAAATGCAATACAAAAACTCGAAAATTGAGTTCGTAAAAGAACCGTTTGTGCTTAAAAGTGCATTTTTTTAAAAAATACTATGAAAACAGGCAAAAAACGAGAATTACTCACAAAGATTTAGCAACAACACGATATTATACAAAATAATGACTGACACTAGGATAATTATTGTTAAATAATAAAGGGAAACGTTGCTGAAAACGGCGCAATGTGACCAACATAGCGATAATAAAATTGGGTTTAAGCTAATTTTTGGAACTTTAATCTAAATAAAATATCTGTTACAATCATTTATTTGCTCTATAAAGTAAAATGAAGAGCTGCTCGGTATCTTAAATTATACAAGAAATTTAAACATTTTTGCCAAAATTTTATTTAGTCAGGTTTATAGACTTTAGTGTCAATGCCGATATGATAGATGACGTGCATCGTAAAATGTTTGGCGATTACAGTATGAGCTTTTTTTCGCGAAAAAAAATATTTTTTTAATTTCTCGAGAACTTTCGAAGTGAAACTTCTTTACGCGCCATGGGAGTAAAAATTCAAGGCCGCGACACACGAGCTAACGTCACGCCACGCGTCACAAAAGTGGTAAGCCAATGAGGAAGTTGAGATATGTCTTTAAAGCGCCGTAAAACTTGATATTTTGACGACGTTTCATGCATTATGAAACCCCATCATCAATGGCGAAAAAATCGTCCGATTTAAATAAAATTTGGTAAGTCGATAGATTGAACCAAGGCCAACTTGGCCGTGTACGACACGTATCACCTGTGACAGTTAGTTTTGACTTAAGAAACGTCAAAAGTTAAAGTCGTCCGATCGCGACGAAATTTGATGGGTAAGCTATGTGAGCGAACATTATTTCAAGATTAAAACCTTTGGTGTTCCATTTCAAAGCCAGTTGGATTGGACTTTTAATCTGTTGGTGCTGATACTACAACAACGGCAGTATCAAAATTAAGAACTAAGAACCCCAAACCTATTCCAACGATTTTTAAAAATACTCTAACTGACCTGGAATATACTAGCCCCATAGGGCGTCCTCCAAGCATTGAGCAAATTGTCCTTTCCAGTGGATACGAACCACTTCCCGCAGGCGGCGAACCTCAAGCTGAGCACGCAGCTCTCGTGCAGGTGCAACTGGTACTTGTCGGGTTTGTTGGCGTGCAGTACCTCCACGTTGGAGTTCTCCATGCCGACGGCCAGCCATTCGCCCGTCGGGCAGTACCCGAGCGAGAAGATTTGGGAGCTGAAGTCGTGCTGCTGCAGTTGTCGGCCCTCGCGCAGGTCCCAGCTGCGCACAGTGTTGTCCAAACCTGAAAACAATTATATCCTAGTTAGTTATTTGGAATATAACGTTTAATATATAGGTTAACTGAAAGCATTTTATAAAAATACTAGCGTGTACCAGCGACTTCGTTCGCGTCGAATTAATCATTTGTAATGGTGATGATAAAGCAAAGCAAGAATTTTCATTAACATACAAACTGGATAAAATGTTCTCACATTTATGTCAGCATGAGAAAAAACCATATGGCGATATTATTATATAACTTGGTAATATTTAAGGGATAGTTTCATCTCGTTGGAATTTGACTTTCGAAAAATCCGTTTGATAAAAATAAGATTTTTACGTCAAGCAGTTTAAGCAGAATCGTGGTTAAGAAATTACCTAACTTTTTGGAACACCCTGTATGATTTTTTAAAAAATTTCAAAATATGTAAAAAAACCAAATAAATTATGCTTGTCCAAGCGTTTTCCCGAAAGACTAACCGTTTTTTAAATAACAAATATTGTAATATTTGAGGGGCGTTTTCACCCTCTTGAAATTTGAGATTCGAGAAACCCTTCCTTATCGAACCTCTACACCCCATAGTCAATCCGTTTGCCAAAAATCAGCTTTAAACGTCAAGCAGTTCAAGCAGAATCGTGATTACTCAATGGTCATATTTTATGAAATACCCTGTATAAATTTATAAAAAATCTTAAAATATGTAAAACAACAAAATAAAATATACGTGTTTAAGAGTTTTTCCGAAAAACTCACCGGTTTTTAAATAAAAAATATTTTAATATTTGAGAGATAGTTTCACCCCCTTAGAATTCGAGTTTCGAAAAATCCCTTCTTATCGAACCTCTACACCCTAAAGTCAATCTGTTTTCCAAAAATCAGCTTTTTACGTCAAGCGCTTTAAGCAGGATCGTGATTAATCAATGACCAGATTTTTCGAAACACCCTGTATACATTTTTAAAAAAATCTTAAAATATGTAAAAAACAAAATAAAATATACGTGTTTAAGCGTTTTTCGGAAAGATGACCGTTTTTTAAATAAAAAATATTGTAATATTTGAGGGGTGGTTTCACCCTCTTGGAACTGGAATTTCGAAAAATCCCTTCTTATCGAACCAAAATTGAGCTTCTTACGTTGAGCGGTTTGAGCAGGATCGTGATTAATCAGTATGTCTTAAGGATTTTATATATTAGTATAGATATAGAATTATATACTAGGGTGTCCCCAAAAAAAGTTACGCATCAAGGTTGTGTTTTTTCTAATGGAACACCCTATATATTAATTGATTTTCGCATTCTAGGAAAAAAATAATGGAACACCCTATACAGGGTGGCGCACCTCATTCGCCTCAGTTGATTATACGAAAACAGAAAGATGTAGAAACAAACTATTTTATGGGTATATGTAGAGAGACAATGTGCATAATTTAAAATTATTTTGAAATGTACAGGGTGTGTCAGAACTAAGATCCATACCAAAGTTATATTTTTTCTTATGGAACACCCGGTATTTTATTTAATTTTTGGATTCTTGGTACATAAAATAAGGCATTTATTATAAGGGTTTAATATGTCTAAAAGCTTTGGTTTTTGAGATATTTAAAGATATTTAAATTTGCATGCTACAATAGAATAGATTATTAACACCCTGTAGATTACTATTCAGAATTAATTCAACTGTGCTGACTTTCAAGCCAGAGAAATAAACTTAACTAAAAAATTAGATTACTTCCTTAAATATATACGTGGTATCAAAAATTGCTCTGTTTATTACATTATATTGGTCTATTTTAACTATTTATTTTACATAAAAACTTCGTTATTTCCAACGCAACACTATGTACCATATGATCGAGAAAAAACGGCGTCCAGTTGGCTGGGAATGCTGCTTGATAAAAAATATTGTAATATTTGTATATAAACGTATTGTAATACTTCTAGTGACACTTAGTAGCTATTTTAAAATTAGTTTATGGACTTTATTTAAATTTATAACAGGTTATTTTTATTTAATTTACCCACAATAATACTAATAAGTAAGTAGGTATTTATTATTTTATCAAGAAAAATGAAGCAGTGTCTGCTGCCGGAAAGAATGCGTATGTTACTAGTGATTTTATTTTGTGAGGACAACATTGCTGGTTTATGCTCAAAGATATCCAAATAGGAATCCTCCTGTTTTCCAGGAATCCTTCTCATCCAAGAGTTAACATAGACTTAAAACAGTCAAAGAAAAACTTTAAAGGGATGTTTCTGTTTTCTATTATTATCACTACATGCATATTGTATTTTTATTGATATTAAAATAATATTTTACCTCCTGTCCATAACTTGGTACCATCTGCAGATATATCGATACAAGAAGCTCCATCAGTGTGGCCTTGGAACTGTCTGACCAATGTCTGGTTATGTAAATCCCATACAGCGATATTACCATCGGAACAACAACTAAAGCACACCTAAAAATACAAAATCATTAATATTATAGTACTCTTATGCAAAATATTACTTAAATATACTAAATTAATAAATTGGTAATATGATAAGTATTAAAATAAGTTGTTTTACGTACTTTGGAGTCTGGGCTTATTGCCAAAGCATAACAAGCAGGTGCGCTAGATGTCAGCTCAGCTTTTATCCTAGGCGTTGGACTGGCCAAGTCCCAAATGGATAGGTTGCTGGCTTCGCCACCTACTATCAACGTCCTACCATCTGGCAGTAATTTTACTGATCTGATGTAGTTATCTCGTTGCTAAAAATAAAAAGACCGTTCATAATTAGTGATTTAAGCTAGGTACATGAAATTAAATTAAGTAGAACTGGTTCAAAATTTGAAATAAGGATTAAGAAGACAAGGAGTAAAGTTCACAAGAATGGTTGAAATGAATGGATGATGATAAAATTGGTAAAAAGGGAAAAAAGTAAAAATATTATTATACTGTTAATACCTGAAATTATGTGAAAGCTGGATTATATAAAAAAGAATTGGATATGGACTTGAAATACCTAACAACAAAGTCGAATGAGTTTGATAATAGTAAGAACAAGAGTATAGTAGCTTCCAGACAATACTTCTAAAGACTGAAGTAGAAATTAGCAATAGTGCAACTGCAACAGGTAGAAAAAATCTATATTCAAGTAGTTAAATTAGTAGAAGAATATTGGCTTCTATCAATCCAGTCATCGGTATGTAAATTCCGTAACGATATTGCCTTTTATCCATGTTTCTCGGGGTCTTTCTCGTTTTCGTTTTCCAGTTGGTTCCATTTCATGTTATTTTTTTGGATTTCTTCTATGATAGTTACTTCTTTCTTTGTCATTTTTCTTATTTCTTCATTTCGCAGTTTTTTCTATTTTTGATTTTCTCGCTAATCTTCTAGTATCCAGTTGCTAAAAACTTTCGGTTTCACCGGAAGTAACTACAACTTTTGATTTTTAAATGACACCCTCGGTATTTTTTTACTTTATTCGATAGAAAATGACACTCTGAATAGAATCATATGTCAATTTTTGACATTTTCGCATATTGTTTATTTGAAATAATTGTAATATGCGGTTATAAGGACAATTTGACTCGAAATACCAAGTGTGTGGTATAAAATTATTCGTAAAAAAGTACTTTTTCCAAATATGCTAATGAGCCACCCTCGTTCCATTTGAAAAAATTGAGATACGATTAAAAATACCATTTGGGCATCTTTTAACCGGCCAGGACAAGACACTAAAACATTTTAGACAATCAATCATCTAACATACTCCTCAATTAATTTTCTAAACATATGTCCTGTACGTAGCGGGTCAGTATTACTTGATCGTCGGCATAGTGAATGGTATAATGTTTTATTTCCGACTGGTATGCACATTCCATCACATTTTAGTCTACACTGCCGCATCTAGGTAAATGTTAAATAAAATTGGAGATAGACCACATCCTTGTCGGAGGCCCTTACTTATATTAAATCATATCGTTAAGTTTGTCATATAATTTTAAATCGTGCTCTTGTATATTTCCTATAATTCCTATTGCTCTTCAGTTTGATACAAGTATAATCGTAAGTTATTAATGTGCGAAATGTTTTAAAAAAGTGTCTATACAATCATAACTGTTCATTGAATATCCAATTGAAATACTTCTTCAGTTTTCAGATATGTTAATTGTGTAGAAGATAGAAAGCACTATAATTTGGTATCAAGAATTGTAAACTTCAGAACCGGTCGACTAAATAATAGAGAGTCAACTTTGAAAAGCGTACTGCTCTGTTAGAAAGTCTGAAAGATACGAGGCATGTTTTTTAAGTAAGTACCGTTTTGGAATTAAAAAAAACGTGCAAAGATATCACAATAATTTTATTTTTACATGAAAGCCTGTACCTTAATCTACTTTTCTACATAATTTCCGTGAATATTGAGGCACTGTCATAACGTGGCAGTTGAAGGAGAGGAACTGATGAAACAGAAGAAAATGACAAAGAAAAAAAATTATGACAGAAGAGAAAGAGGTAGATTGAAGACGAGAGAAAAAAAAAAGATTCTGGTATCAAAAATTGTAGATATGGATTTGTATCAAGTCAAATACTTACCAGACAGTCAAGTTGAGAGACAGGACTTTTGGACCCGGGCTGACTGATATCCCACACCTTGACGCAGCCCTTGCCACCAGTGTACACGTACTTGGTGGGGTTGGATATCGTAACTGCGCAGACGACTTCTCCGTGGCTCAAGGTATTGATCTGACGAGCGTGCCTGGGTATCCCCGGACCAACCAGAGCGTCCTGGGGAAAGGGTACCGGTTGCATTTGGCCTTCGGCGCTCACATGAAACGAGTAGGCTCTGGAGGAGGAATGGAAAATTGTTGTTAATATTAATTTTAGCATTTTTTGTCGTTGTCTTAACGTTGAGGAATGAGGTTCTTGTTTCGCAATTTTTGTGTTTTAGAAGAGAAAAATGATATACAGTAGAACTTTGATAATTTGATCCAGATTACTGGAGATTTTTTAAATGTTGTTGTTTCGCATTTTTATTGTTTTCAACCCAAAATTAACATTTCAACTAGCGATGGGAACTATCGAATGAATTAGACTATCGAATGGTTACTGAATGAATGATTTCAACTATCGAATGGTTTTATTCGAATAAAATCATTCATTCATTTGTATACTAAAGCATACGTGACAACCTCGCCGTGCGACTAAATGGTTATCATTGAGCCACGACTATCGAATGCTTTTGATAAATGAAATTTAGTATTCGTTTGATTTTTGTGTGCGTCAGTGCATTATTAGTTCTTCCAAATTTTTATAACTTCGCCTTATAAATACTGTGCTATTGTTGCGTTTATTAAAATATTTAAGATATTAGAATAGTAGTTTTTTTAATTGACGATTATGTGCGTGTGTAGGTGTCAAAATTTTCCCGAAAATTTTTGTGATTTTCCGTAGCCCGATCTTTCAATTATTTTATTTTATATGGTATATGGTCTATTTTTTAATGGGAAATTTTAAGAAGTAGCAATTTTTAAGAGAGATGAGATGAACTTAGAATTAATTTTAAAAATACATATTTGTATTTTAGATGTTTTAATAATATGAATTAGTTGAACTTAATAATCATTATTTAAGTAATGTGGTTAAGTAAAATGTGTGGTTATCGAACTCAAACTATGGGGTGAGAAAATTAAATTGAAAGTTTTACACGTGCCAATTTAAAAAAAATTAACTATGTTTGTATTTTGTTTATGCTAATTCTCTTACATGTAGTTTTTTGCGAAGAAATATTTCATTTATTTTTAAAGTAAATGCCAGTAAAGTAAATATTATTTTTAAATAGTAATATAAAGTATCTAATATAAATAATTTTGATTTCTAATTTTTTATTTATATTTTCCTTCCATTACACTGCATGCTTAGAAAATTAATAAATGTTTATATTTCATGATTTTAAAGTTTGTTGTTAATATAACAAATTAGTTCTGTAATTATTATTATTTAATAAACCACCGTTGCCACACACAACAAATTTAAAGACTATATTATTTTTAAATAGGATCTAATATAAATAATTTTGACATCTAATTTGTTGTTTATATTTTGCTACTACGTAAAAAAAATGTTTGTATTTAATTATTTTAAATTTTGTTGTTAATAGGTATAACAAATTATTACTGTTATTATTATTTTTATTTAAACAGTCTTGGCTTAAAAACATTAAAAATAATTTTCCTACATCCAAAATATCAAGTATTATTGCAGTGTAACAACAGAATATTAATAAAAAAATGTAAAATATATAGACATACTAATCCCTAACTAACTAAAGCCAAACAATAATATTCTTTGCTAATATTAACTAATACCAATATATGGCAACAGCGCCCTTCATAATGTATTTTCTGTGTAAATACTAGCACCACAATAAAAAAAATGTGTCCTTATCTTTATATGACTCCGCAAAAAATCAAAGATGCCGGCTTCTTTCATAGCATTGCCACCGACCGCTGTCGGGTTTCTCGGAAAGAAACCTACGTCGCCGGGCGACAACTAAAATCCAGTTAGTATTTTATTATAATCGATCCTGACGAATAAATGAATTTCATAAATGAATGAATTTTATAAATGAATGGTTTTTGTTGCCGAATTATTAGAATACAATATTTCAAGGCAGATGACGCATCTATTCGATAATTTTTATTCGAATAGTTTTCAACGAATGTTTTCTTACTAACTATCGAATTATTCGAATGAATTGCAACTATCGAATGTTTCGATAGTATTCATTCGATAGTTCCCACTACTAATTTCAACTTATTTTTATTAAATCAAAAACTTCTTCTTCTTTACGTGCCGTCTCTTTCGTGGAGGTTGGCGATCACACTGGCAAAATCTTCACGATTCTCGGCTTTCCTTATGAGTTCTTCAAAAGTTAGGTGAGTCCAGTTTCTAATGTTTCTCAATCAAGATAGTTTCTTCCTGTCGAGACCTCTTTTTCCTTCAATTTTACCCTTAACTATTAATTGTAAGACGTGGTATTTTTCATTTCTCAATATGTGCCCTAAGTATGATGTTTTTCTTATTTTTATTATATTGAGCATGAGCTTCTGTTTCTCTGCCTATACTGTTGTAGACTTCGATATTTGTGATATGGGCTGTCCATGGAATTTTAAGCATTCTTCGATATATCCATGTTTCGAACGATTCGAGGCGATTCATCTCTTGAATTTACAGTGTCCATGTTTCTGCTCCGTATATTGACCTGACATAACCGATTGACCAGACTCCGATTAGCCAGACATAACACTTAACGAGCCTAGTTCTCAACTCAAGATCCAATCTGAGGTTCTGGAAGGTGTTCTTCATTTTTAAAAATGCATTTCTAGCTTGTTTTATTCTGGTTTTTATTTCCACGTAGTTGCTCAACGTGTTAACTATCCAGGACCCCAAATATTTGAACTTGTAGACGTGTTTTAAGGTATTGCCCTCTATTTTAATAGGAACTGGTACATTTTGGTTCTTTCCAAATACCATGACTTTAGTTTTAGAGAAATTGATCTTCATTCTCTATTTCTTACAGGAGCCTTCAAATCGTTCCACTAAACTCTGGAGACCAGTATCAGAGTCGGCAATAAGAACTGTGTCATCGGTAAATTTAATGTTGTTAATGACTTCGCCGTATCTATTTTTTTATATCTTTTTTTGAAACAGCTATGTTGATTAAGCTTTCTGTGAACTGAATTATGTCTTCTTCAATTTATCTTCTAGTTCTTTTTGTTCTGCAGTAAGTGCTTTGAGCAATTAGATAGTACTTTAGACACCAGTTTTCATCCAAATGTGGACTATAAGTGACAAATTATTTGGAAAAAAAAAACGAAATAAAAATGAAATTTCTACACCCTGTATCTCCGAAACTAAGCATTGTATGACAAACATTTATACGAACTTTTTTACTTATTTTTATCTGCAGAATACTGAAGAACTGACTTGGCGGCGTGTCTGAATTAGAAAAGTCCTACGGTACTAAAATTCTTAGACCTGTTCTATGGATTGTATACATTACACTTACGGTTTTCCTCCGGGTATACCACCCAACCCGGGTACGACCGGAGCCCGCATCTGTGAATGGGGGTCGTAACCGACCTGGAGGGGAGGCCTGGGGTAGTTGTTGAGCGCAGGGGGAAGGTTATTGTGCAGACCTGCGTAGCCTGCGTTAGCTGCTGCTGCGGCTTGAAGTTCGTGAGCTGGCGTGCCTAAAAATGTCAGAAAAGTCCATTAATCCCTTCCCCCCTAAATATTAAATTAAATAGCATAAAATAAGGAATTTATTGTAAGAGTTTAATATGTTTAAATGCTTTGGTTTTTGAGCCTATTTAAATATGCATGCTATAATAAAAAAGTTTCTCAACACCCCTTACATTACTTTTCAGAGTTAATTCTTGTGCTGACTTCGAAACCAGAAAAATAAACTTTACTAAAATTTTTTATTGCTTTCTTAAATGTATACAGAGGTATCAAAAATTGCTGGTCTATTTTAAATATTTATTTTACACAAAAACTTCGTCATTTCAAATACAACACTATGTATTTTTTAAAATAAGTCGAAGCAGATTTAAATGGTCTTTCAAACTATATTAGGGTTTTCCCTACCCATCTTGCACAGATTTTGAATAAAAATCGATTTAAATAAAAGCGAATAAATACTTACTCTTATTATAATAATTACCCTTTTCGTAGGTAAATTAAATAAAAATAATCTGTTATAAATTTAAATAAAGTTCATAAACTAATTTTGATTTTGAAAATAGCTATATAAGTGTCACTAGAAAATTGCCATGGCGATACCAGCCATCTTGATTACCATTTTATTAAAAAATCGCTTTTTATTCAAAATCTGAGCCAGATAGCTATAGGAAACCCTAATATAGTTTGAATAAGCATTTAAATCTGCTTCGACTTATTTAGAAAAATACATAGTGTTCCATTTGAAATAACGAAAAGTTTTTATGTAAAATAAATATTTAAAATAAACCATCAATTTTTGATACCCCTGTATACATTTAAGGAAGCTATCAAATCTCTTCATAATTATGAAAAAATATTTATGTAGTAGGGCATCAATAGACTCAAACATAAGCCCTAGATAAACATCATGGATATAAAATCCAAGCTATGTGAAAGTTATTTACAAAAAAATATCTATTTATACTGTGAGACGTAAAATGTATTTGTAGTTTGTTCAAATGAACGAATCCTAAGAGTCGATTCATTATGAGAAACTGAATCGTGTGATCCGATTCACTAAAAAGAATCGTAACGTAAATATTTTTTTCAAACATCACAAATAATTTTTTAAACAATTTGAAACGTTCCAAATAATATAAAAATATTTAAAAGTAGTACCTTGTATGTAATTATATATCGAGAAACTATGGTTACGCTCGTTGAATTTGACACTTTATGTCATTTTAATAATATATTTTCGTACTTTTATGCCTAGGCGTTAAAATGGCTTTTTTATATTGTAAATCAAGTCGCAAAAATTAATACTTTTGTAAAAAAAATTAGAATTACCATTAGGGATTCCTAAATAAGGTGGATACTGCCCCAACGCAGGAGGTTTCAAGGGTTTCATGCCACTACTTCCAGATGTACCAGCAGCTGAAGTAGGGGTAACAGGTTTTGAGATTGGAGTAGTAGGTTTTTCCTCAATTTTCTTTGTTGACGGCGTTGAAGCATTACTTGACGTACCTGACCTAAAGACGCATTATTTTAGTACACTCAAGGACACAAAAAAGAAAGAAAAATCCACAAAAAAAGAAAGAAAAATCAAAGTACAAAGAGGTCATTAAAAATGTATTCAGAGTACATAAGTTCAAAAAAATTCTCTTAAATGTCAGAAAGACTCCAAAAAATTGTCTCGAGAAATCTGATGAATTATATTATGTAGTACCTTGGACTGTGTGGTCCTGGATGTTCCTTCTTTGGTACTTTATCTATGCCGTTTTCTCTAGGTGATGCGGTGCCATTTGGGGGTGAAATAGGGTCTTCGGAGGCATCGTCCACCACCAGGTCTTGGTCGCTTTTTTCACCGTCGCTGTGCTGAAATAAGAGAATATTTTTTAGTAAGATATTATTGAAATAAAATTTTTAAAATAATCACTTTTTTTAAATTCCAATAAATAAAGTTAAGGTTTTGTATTATTAGTCTTTGTGGATAGGGAACTGAACAATTGTGTTAATTTTATTGGTATAATGTGATGTTGTTATAGTGCCTTTCATATTATACAATAATACAGGGAGTCTGTTAAATAAGTCCAAATATATTTCGACGCCAGAAACAGGTTTACCAGTTTTTTTTGGTTAAAAAAAATGTTGAAAATTTTAATCAAGTTTTCATCAAATTTTTTTATCAAATCCTGAAATGTTAAGCAATTTTTGGTCAGTTAGGCAAATTTGTTTTATTAGTAGAATACCACTGATAAATTGATCTACGTTGGTCTACGTTAAGTCTTCACTAAATAACTGGGTTACCTATATTCAAAAAATTGGCAAATAGAAAATAAAAACTTTTGTCTATATTTTTCACCACCTAAAATATTTGCACTTATTTAAGAAAAACCTTATAGAGTTCTACAATATTAGAATGTTTTACTGAAAATATAATCATTATAAAGACTTTCCAAACGATTTCAGCCATTATTAGACACATTTATAAAAAATAAATCCAGTTCTACACGTCACATTCAGTTGTACACTTCCAAAACTCCTCCTAAATTGCCGTATAAACTACAAGATCGAGTTTCCCCTCTTTCCAGCGTCCCCATTGTAAATTCTTGACGGTTTTACGGCTCCTGAGTGGTCCCGGGGGGGCCGAGCCCTACAAGGGACCCCGCCGGCACGCCCCTGGGGGGTATTTTTATAGCTCTCGATTCGGTCAGCCGCCGTGTATGTATATGTAGTCGTTTCTTTTACACGTGCATTCCGATAGATGAAACAAGCCTGGAGAAGTCAGCGGCGTGCTAGCGTCTTTTATTTATGATTTAGCTGGATATAAAAAAATGAAATTTAACAAAAATCTATTTATAAATATAAAGGAAGTTTTTGATATCTGAAAATTCGACTTTTCAAGTGAAGAAAGATACGTCAAAATATTTTTCAATACCGTTTGATAGAGTTATCCCGTGGTCTAAAAAGGAATGTCAATTATAAATTTGTGTATAGTGATATAATAAAATAAAATAATATGTTGGGCAAACTAGAAGATCAATATTAACTAGATTTAAAGAACATTTAGCTCAGATAAGATGTGGTAGACCGGATAAATCTTGTGCTGCTGAACATATTGCTGATAAAGAACACTGTATAGATCTTAATAATGTAAAATTAATTAAACAAGTCTCAAATTACAGGCAATTAGATGCATATGAAAGCATCAAAATTAATAAATGTAAAGATAGTATGAACAGAGACAACACGGTCCAATTCGTTCTAGTTCTCTGTTCCTACTACTTTAGTTGCGGAAATTTAATTGTTACGCTCGGTGGGCTCTACGGTATATACACGCTCAAATTGTAGATATTAGTTTAGTCTTGAACATCTGCTGATGATGCTAACATAGTTAGCGAAATGCGCGTCCAGTGTAAAAGTAAAAGTGATTTGGTGTATTGTGGTGATTTAGTGTTTTATTTTGCTGTGTAACACCAAAGGTTCCAACCCCCAAGTGGTAAAGGAAGTTTAAAATAACACACTCTCTCTCTTTTTTAACCCTTCCATAGAGAAAAGAAATGCCATAAAAGATCAAGCGATTATCCAAATCTAAGTAAGGTTGAAATTGAAAAAACGCTTATTATTTTGGTATAGGTACTGGATGATGCATCTTTGTTGAAAACATAATAAATCGCATGCAAATTTTTCAAATTACAATAATGCATTTTTGGGACTATAACCGTAGGTACTATAACGTAGTAGTCATCACGTACCAAGACATCACAACAAATTACATGCGACAATGATAAAATTATAGGCTGACAACGTAAGGTTTGTTGAAATATGCTCAGATAATCAGGCGGCACACTTAGGGGCGCTTATGAACCCAAAGGTATCGTCGAGACTCGTCTGGCAATGCCTGGCTGAACTGGGAGCTCTGGCACGAAGGAACAGAATTAAATTATTCTGGGTGTAGGACCACAGCGGCATCCAAGGCAACAAAAAAGCCGATGAGCTAGCTAGGTAGGGATCATCGGCATCCTATCTTGGTCCAGAGTCAGCACTGGGAATACCCAAATGCCCGTAGTGCACTAAAACTCTGGATCAGGGAAAAGCACAATGTCCATTGGAGAAATAGACAAGGTACAGGCACATCAAGGCTTTTATCCAAGGACCTAGCTCTAAAATCGCAAAAGAACTGCTAATGCTTAACAGGAATAAAGTGCGGATTACAACAGGCCTCTTGCCAGGACACATGGCTGTCAAGTGTTACCTGAACAAGCTCAACCTGTATCAAGGAAGTCTTTGCTGCAGACTCTGCGATAAAGATCCTGAAACAGCGGAGCACATAATATGTCATTGCGAGGCTCTGGATCGCAAGCGATACTTTTTATTTGGGAAAGCTAGGCGAGAACCGGAACAACTATGCTCCCATCCTATCAAGGACCTGCATAAGCTAGTGCAGGGCACAGGGATAGGAGAATGGATGCAGATATAGAAGGGGGAAAAACACAATAGGCCTCACAGAGTTTCTTAAAACTAACCATCTAACTACACTTTAATGATATACAGGGTGGTCCGAACTGTATTCCGGAAACTTCGGCAGCATATTCTGCAGATAAAAATGAGTAAAAAAGTTCGTCTAAATGTATGTCCTAAAATGCTTAGTTTCGGAGATACAAGGTTTAGAAGTTTCATTTTTATTTCGAAATTTTCCGAATAATTTCTGAAGTAACGTCAATAATTCGTTGAAAATTGGTGTCTGGGAGTTATTTGACATGAGAAATTTGATTTTAATATCAATATGACTCCTACTTGTACAGGGCGCCAACTACATATATTTTTAACTGGTTTGAAGAGTAATAACTTTTCGTCCGTACCTGTATAAAACTACTAAGTTCAACAGAAACTGTTTTGTTTTTTCATAAAAATATTGACGTCACTTCATAAATTATTTGGAAAAAATCGATATAAAAATGAAACTTCTACACCCTGTATCTCCAAAATTAAGAATTTTATAAGATACATTTATACGAACTTTTTACTTACTTTTATATGCAGAGTAGACTGCCGAAGTTTTCGGAATATAGTTCGGACCACACTGTATATTTGCTATTGGGGTGGGTTCAGAGAGTTTACAATAGGGGTAATAAAAATGTGTTAAGAAATCCTTGTTAATCCTTTACATTATTTTCGTTTTTATTTTAGCTCATTTTAATATTTCTAACTGTTCAAGGTAATTTAAGCGTCTACCTTTTGTTTCTCTATGTAGTAACTTAATTGAGTTTTCATTAATTTTGTGACTATTTAAAATACAATGCAGTGGCGGATACAGAAGGGAGCACATGAGGCCAAGGCCCCCCCTAAGATCTATAAATCGGGCTAAATAATAAGATTTTGGGCTAAAAATGGCGCTCTAAAAAGCATATTCTAGATTACCTTTTATTGGAGCCCCCTTTAAAATACATTCCGGGCCCCCCCCCTAAAATAAATTTCTGTATCCGCCCCTGATACAATGGGTTACTAGACCGAAACTTTGCTGGAGATTATTAATAGATTTTATATGTTGTTTCTATCCTTATATCTAAATTTCTCTCTTTCTGTATCTAAATAATCTTATCAATTGAAACTACAATAATAATTATTATAATTAAACTACTTTTAAATGTACCTAATGGATTAGTAAATAAGCGTAAAAAGGTACCGAATAGGTACCAACAAACAAATAACGAACAACGGTTGTTCCTAATTCTTTTTGTAGCATTTCTTTAACTCACTTTCAACTGCTTGTTTCATACCAGTACTTTTAGAAATTTTGCGGTGCGATATCTTCACATAAGTCTGGTATTGTATAGAATTAAATGTTCCCTACGCCACTGTTTAAACGCAGGAGCGCATCGTGTGCATAAATGCATTTAAAACTGCGACAGGCCGATGCCGTACTCTAAAGCCCGTGACAAATCGCGACGGTGTGTCGTGGAGAAGCGGCTTTAGAGAAGAAACGGGGCCACAACGAGCGAATGGAAAAAAAGCGAGAGCCAGCAGAGGTGCTAGGAGGGCCTTATTAATAATTGAGGCGTCTGGCAGAAGCAGAAAAGGGCACAAAAAGAGTCCTCTTCTGAATAATATATTGCCATGTGCCGGTTTTTACACGACAGATGAAAAAACGGTGGAAAGTAAATAGTAGAGAAAATAACTGGGATGTTTTTAAACAAGTACGTAGAAATTTGTTCTATGTTGTAATTAAAATATGAGGAGGGCGAGGGGTGATTTTTTTGGCGTTTTTTGTTGCCTCGTTCAATTTTGTTTTGTTTTGAGCTAATTCCAAAACGTGGCGGTATCTGTATCGGAGGCAAAGGATTTTTTTTCATCAATCCCAGTGAAATAAGCCTAGACGTTTCTAAAGCTAGCTGTTGTTACGATGATATTTCGTTAATTACATCTTGTTTTATGTTATGTTGATATATATTCCACAGAATTAATATTTTAACACGCGTTTATTATATGTATAGTAGATATTTAGGAACAAAACTTTTCACTTAAACTGCAGGAATAGAATTATAATATTTTTATGATTTAATTTTATTATAATAAATTACTATATAAAAATCGATGCATCGTAATCTTGCAAACGATGCAAATATCTTGAAAATCGTTCGAACATTTTCGAACTAAACAAAGAGCAACTTTTTAGACCCACGTAAAGAAGTTCTAACTTTTTATATCGTTTATTGAAATTAGTAGAGATGGGAACTATCGAATGAATTAGACTATCGAATGGTTACGGAATGAATGATTTCAACTATCGAATGGTTTCATTCGAATAAAATCATTCATTCATTTGTATACTAAAGCATATGTGACAACCTCGCCATGCGACTAAATGGTTATCG